GTCATGTACCTTAATTTTCCGTTCGTGCTTTTAAGCGTGCACGTACGTGTGCCTCAAAATTTATATATGCTTAAAACCATATATATATTATTAATTAGTTATAGCTCCTTAGGATGAAAGGTGACCCCCAATTTTTATTACATATTCTGAAAGCACATACAGTAAGTTGTAAATATGATTTTATAGATCATAATGGCTGATCGGACATTGTGACGTAATCATATTGGCATCTGAATTCAAAGAAAGTGTATTTTAGCTATGACGTCATTTTTTAAAATACGCATTTGAGCGAATCTCGCTTATCCTTGATCGATCGTCTTCCAACTTTGAGTATGTTGTAGCTGAGACAATTCTCTTTCATTCATTTGACTTCTTTTTACATTTTGATGACGTCATCATGGTAAAAAAAATTGTTTTTTTCTGACCCCCCCCCCCTACATCTTTCTTTCCTCAAAACGTTGATGAGCTCATATCATCTTAACCATTTGTCATTTCTGAAACATATTAATTGAGCATAATCTTCAGGTCAAGGTTGAATGTCATGTACCTTAATTTTCCGTTTGCGCTTTTAAGCGTGCATGTATACGTGCGTCAAAATTTATATATGCTTAAAACCATATATATATTTTTAATCAGTTATTGCTCCTTAAGATGAAAGGTAACCCCCAATTTTTTTTACATATTCTGAAAGCACATGAGTTGTAGATATGATGTTATAGATCATAATGGCTGATCGGACATTGTGACGTCAACTTATTGCCATTTGAATTAAGAAAAAAACTGATTTTTTTTTTTCTCTATGATGTCACTCTTTTTATACTTGTTTGAACGTATCGCGCTTATTCTTGATTGATCGTCTTCCACCTGTGAGTATGTTATAGCTGAGACAATTCTCTTTCGGAAGTGTCCCTTTATTTTTCATTTTGATGATGTCATCATGGTAAAAAAGAATGAATCTTTGGAGCCCTCTCATCTCTCTTTCTTCAAATTTATCAAATATCATGGACAACAGTGGGCGGCAGACTGTATTTCGAAGATATCAGATTGATATATAGTACATTATGAATGGAAAATTTGTGTGGCATTACCAACCAACAGGTGTTTTTAAATTACTCTTGACAAGAATCAATTTCTCGTGCCATTACCGTCCACGAGTACGTCGCGACGTGCTGTATTGGTAAATTCTCAATATCACTTTTCGGATAGAGGGCGGTAGACTGTTTTTCGACACTTTCTAACCGATAGAAGGTCAATTTCTTGTGCCATTACTGTCCATGAGCACGTCCTGACGTGCGTGTTCGGTAAAATTTGGGAATTCTCATTAACACTTTTTCAGATAATTTAAATAACGTTTCAGGTCATTTTCAGCATCCCAAAACTTTCCATAATTTACGCACCGTATGCTCATTTCCACGCGCACTGCACTTACTGAAGCTGGGAATTACGTTTTGTTTCATGTGTTGGGTTCCTGACACTGTATTCATCAACAGGGGCCACATTTATCAAACTAGAATTCAGCTTAAATTCGTCTTAAGTACATTTTTTGCTTAAGTCAAATTTATCAATATTGCTTAGCTTAAAAATTTCTTAAATTTAGAAAATTGTACGCGGGCACCATCTAAGACGATTTTTAAACCAATATTTTGCTAAGATTGGGTAATAAATCAGCTTAAGAGATATTTATTACTGACATCTGAACTTTTTTGACTTAAGACATTTGCTAAGCTGAGATTCATAAATCCAGGGCCACGAGTAAACTGTTTGTGCCTTTAATGTGCACAGGCGTCAATTGTTTAATATTGCACTTTTTAAACAACTAACTAGAGCATATTTTAGACCATTTTTGAGCATTTAAAAACATTTCAACACCCACCGCTCGCGCTTCCTGAGGGTCAAAGTTCGGCGGATCACCAAACTCGTCCTTAGTAATGAGTTCAAATCTAGTTATTACTTATTTTGATTATTATTATTATTATTAATAACACAAATAGTTAGATGAAAACAATGTGGTGGCTAACGAACATTAATTGTAAATATTTTTTTTATTTGTTTATTTCCCGACAGAATTTACTCGTCTTCCCCGACGGGGCTATGCTAAAAAAAATTTTTTTTTAGGCCAATTTCCCACTGCCACAAAAATTGGAAAGTTTTTCTTTATTTTTATTATGACCTCCGCTGCCCCGAAATCTCCAAAGATAAGATATGTATATTTCTTCCTAATTATACAAAATTTAAAACATTTTACCATCTTATTACTACATTGTTTACATTCACCAATAACATTTAATTTTTATATTCTCCTCTGTCTAGATATTTTTGGCAAAACTGTTTGAAAAGAAGGAACAACATTTTTTTTTTTACCCTTATCTGATGATCTAAAAAAAAAAATAGACTCAGAAGTACAAATTGCCCCACCCAAACGCATACATTGAGTTCTTTGGAGAGAAACTATACATAGTGGGAATTATAAGAAGTGAAATGTGTTTATCAATCAATCTATTAATCAAGACGGAGTGATTAACACAATCTAACGCTTTACTAAAGTCGGCTGTACAGATTGATGCATACATTCCAGGTTTGTCTGTAATCAACAAGATATGATGACCAAGTTGGACTAATAATGTTTTAATGAGCACACCTTTGAGTTTATACCAAATTGTTGAAGATCAATAAGAGGGCAGAAAGCTAATGATATATCTGCCTGAAAACCCTCAAAAATATCTCCGAAGACTAGTGTTATAGCTATTGTACGGTGCTCATCAGATCTTGTTGCATTTGGCCTCTTAGGCACAGGAGACACATTAGCTTTCTTCCAAACACTAGGAAAGATATAGCTCTGAAGAAAAATGTTTAAAATGTCAGATTAGGGCGACGCAAGTTCAGAAGCAAACTTTTTAATTAATCGCAAAGTTAAGTCATTAAGATGACTGGTAGTTTTTATAGCTTATACTTGTTCAGGATATATAACTGGTGTACTGGAAGTTGGAAGAAAAGCAGGTTAGTTGTTAAGATTCAACACAGGTAACTGAGAACAGATACCAGCAAAATGTATATTGAGATTATTTACAATATCCTGAAGGTTATTAAGAAAATATCAGGGAAAAATGTCAGGTAGGGCAAAACATCACTCCTATGATATTTTCCTGACACAAACTCTATGTTAATAGCACTTTCAGTACCCATTGTTACTTGGGGATCGTATTCATCACTAGCTACCAAGCACAATCTCAGTGGTCTAGTTGTTAAGACATCAGGCTAGTTACCTGGAGGTCATGGGTTTGATCCCCACCCAAATCACTTGCAACTTTTTTTTTGCTAGTATTTGGGGAGGTACTGAATATTAGGTACGATAAAATGTCTGGTAGGGCAAAACATCACTCCTATCCTGAAGATTGCTACCTGGTTTCACCAGCATAGATTGTACTTTATTCTTTCCCATTTCCGGACCTCCCTATGCCATTTATGAGGCTCATGAAGTGATGCAATCGTTTTATGGTAGTTGAAAATGTTTCTTAGCCATTCTAATCTCACTACGAACATTACTATGATATAAGCAGATCTGGTTTCCTGATCTATAAGCACATTAGCATTTTAAAATTAGTTTCCTAATTATAAGACTGAACTAAGGTTTGTCTGTGTTAAAATTGACGGAAATTAATCAATCAAAAATATTAGGTTGCAACTCACATCATCAGTAGCAATATTCACAATTCCTGCTGATATTGTATCAGTTATACACCTGTCAGTTGTACATCTTCTGCCTTATCCTACTGGCACGTTTTACTCTTATAGCTGACGAACAAAATACATGCAATGTATTGGTGTTGAAATGGAAATATTATAGAAATAGATATATGGTTTTTACTGTCACATGTTTAAATTAAAAATGTGTTAAACATATTCCCAATACTTCCAGAAAAAAGTGAAGTTAGTACATATAAAACACTGTACATCTTTACTGTAATTGCACTATTATTTAAATATTCGTCATATAGTTATTGTTTCTGCCTACGGTAATACGGTAAACTTATTTTTAAATAGTCCTCATATCCACACCCTACGTTGGATCATGACCACAACTGAAACAAACTATTCTGCCAATTGTAAATTTTATCCATTTTTATCCATTTTCAATATATTTAGGTCTGGAACCTTTTGGCCTACTGTACATGCGCACCCAAAATTGGATTGTCACCAATACTTCATAATTTCTCCCTTGTTAAACTTGGTTAAAGTTTCACAAAATATTCATTCATGTCAGTCAATTAGTTTTTTAAATATCTGTTCTGAGACATTTTCGTTTGAATGGTCCTCATATCCACACTCTACTCCAGATGGTCACCAAAATTTAATCACCTCATCCTTGGGTCATACCTAACATTCCCTGGAACCTCCATTTAAGTGTGCAGCTGTTTTCGAGATATTTTGAGGACAAGAAACACGCAGGAACTTAACAATTTAAATGACCCTGAAGTTCACACCCGAATTTGGATCATGACCAACGCTTGATAATTTCTTCCTTTTGTAACTTGTTTAAACTTTCACAAAGTTTCCTTCATATCAGTTGATTATTTTTTTTTTTATATTTTGTCTAGGACGTTTGCTCTTAAATCTCTTTAAATAATCCTCACATTACTTCAGACCTTCACCAAAATTTAATAATTTCTTCATTGGGTATACAGTACCTAACACTCCCTGCTATTTTCAATTATGTTAATTATGTTGCACACAAATAATCACACGAAACACCAAAACGTTACACACACAGTGGCGTATCTAGGGCTCGAAGATTGTTTGAGGGGCCTTGATTCGCAAAATAAGGTGATTTTTAACTACTTGACCGTGACTTTTGGGGGGACTGGTGGGTGCGAGTAATTTTTGGAGTTGCTTGCGGCCGACTGAAAAATATATATTCTGGCGGAGATAATAAATGTGATAGATAATGTAAACTGTATTTGAGTTTCAGTAACATACTTCTATTAGTATCTTTCTCTTTTCAGGTATGGATGGCAGTCATCCATCAATCTCACAAGAGCTGACAAGAGCAGGTGATTTCAAATATGGAAATCACATAGAAGACATATGCAACTCACTGAGGATGTTCAGTCATCACATGATTCCCCATGAGAAGGTAATCACAGATGAGCAGATTGTTCAACTTATGAGTAAAAGAATTAGTTGGAGAAACAAACAGCATCTAATAACTACAGTTAAAATGTTATTACCTGAATACATTGGCAAAATATTTGCTCATGTTTTAATTGCAGTACAAGATGAACAGGATGTTTTACAGGAAATTCATGAAGTATATACTGATGATATTGTCAGTAGTTTATCAGCTGAATGCAAGAATTTAAACTTAAAATATGATATTATAAGATACTACTTATATTTCAACTCTATCACTGTGTCATTTTTAATTCATTTGCTATGTAATGCACCAAGACTTGAGGAACTTGAGTTAGTATATTGTAATATAACAGGTGTTACTCTGAACGAGATTGCTGATACATTGCTTAGGGAAAGGATTGTGTTGAAATTAATACATCTTGATATCAGCGTCAATAACCTCAGTGATATAAAATGTTCCTCACTTGCCTCTTTGTTGGCTGTAACTCCTAACCTGAGTGTTCTTGAAATGAGACAATGCAGTCTGTCAGGTGCTATAATGGATGACATAGTTATAGAGTGTTCTAATAGAGGAATTATGTTGGAATTGACACATTTTAATATCAGTATAAATAACCTCAAAGAAATCAAAGGTTCCTCACTTGCGACTTTGCTGGCTGTAGCTCCTAAACTGAATTGTTTTTACATAAGTAATTGCAGTCTGCCAGGTGCTGTTATTGATGATATGGTTAAAGAGTGTTCTAGTAGAGGAGTTGTGTTGGAATTAACAGATCTTAATATCAGTGTAAATAATTTCAACAAAATCAAAGGTTCCTCACTTGCCACTTTGGTAGTTGTTCTAGCCTCTAAGCTGAATTATCTTTACATGAGTAATTGCTGTCTGTCATGTGTTATTATGAATGATATAGTCAAAGAGTGTTCTAGTAGGGGAGTTGTGTTGGAATTAACATGTCTTGTTATCAGTGAAAATAACCTTAAAGACATAAAAGGTTCCTCACTTGCCGCTTTGCTGGCCCTAGCTCCTAAATTGAATTATCTTGACATGAGAAAATGCGGTCTGTCAGGTGCTATTATGGATGATATGGTAAAAGAGAGTTCTAGTAGAGGAGTTGTGTTGGAATTAACACATCTTTTTATTAATGAAAATAACCTCATTGACATCAAAGGTTCTTCACTTCCCACTTTGCTGGTTATTGCTCCTAAATTAAATTTTCTTGACCTGAACAATTGCAATCTGTCATGTATTATAATGGATGATATTGTAAAAGAGTGTTGTAGTAGGGAAGTTGCGTTAAAATTAGCAGATTTTTTATATCAGTGACAACGACCTCAATGGTATCAAAGGTTCTTAACTTGCCACTTTGCTAAATTTAGTTAATAAACTGAATTATATTTTCTTGAGAAGTCTGTCAGGTTGAAGTCTGTCAGGTGCTTATGATTGATGATATGGCTAACAAGTGTTCTAGTAGGGAAGTTAATCGTTATATTAAACTCAATGACATATAGTTCTTTTCTTGCCACTTGCTTGTTGTAGTTCTTAAGCTGAGAAGTCTCAATATGAGAAATTGTAGCCTACCCTGTTATATTTTGGTAAAATTATCAGTAATTTTCTAGTAAGCAGTTTTGAATATTACTTCAATGTTTTTTGCAGATTTTTAGAATAAGTAAATACAATCAGGTAGAATGTTCAGAGGTGTTTGATATGTATTTAATTTTTAATGTTTTAATTATTTATAGGCTATTTTACTTCAACATGATTTGATGTCGCACATTATGTCCTGACTTTTGTTTTTTATTATAATTGTTGTTGAGCTGTTTATTTAGATTTTTTATCCTAAAAGTAAAACAATTCCAGTGTAATTCTATATGGTACTAAGAAAATTGGTTAATGTTGAAAGTCATATGGTTTCTGTTTATGTCTTGTTTGTTAATACAGTATATAATTTTTCAAATTAAAAGGCAAATACAAAATATTATGTAGAAAATTAATATAATGTAAAAATATATATTACGTAAATATTAAAATTCATTCATTCTTCATTTTATGTAATTTCTGTAATTGTCACAATAAGATAGCCATATGATGATATAAAATGCTTATATTGTAAAAGATACAAATTATGTTTACATAACGATATACTATTTTTTTACTACATCTACTTTATCTCCAGTACAATGATTAAGATTTATATTATTATGGTTATATTATATTAATAAGATTAATTTTTTTTAATAATTATTGTAAAGATTTTTAATCAGTATTTTAGAATGTTTAATATTTTATAAGGATTGATTCTGCCCTGGTCCGTAGAAGAAGAATATTAATAAATAAATTAAATAAATAAATAATCGACGTTCCGGTAATTTCACACGAATACTAAGTACAGGTTTTTGTGCAGCTCAGTGTGTTTCATTCAGTTTACTTACTTAATTATAGTAACAATTTGTTAGATATTCAACAATTAAGGGTAAAACTTTACTGTAAATTGCTTGGTTTTGTTTTTGTTATGCTATTTATACATTTGTTGTTTTTGAACTGTCTTTGCTTTCCTTTGTTTATATTTTATATTGTTCTTGGGTGCACCATCAAAGTGATGGGTGCCACTGATCTGAAAGTGAACCCAATAAATCTTATCGTATCATATGACATCAATCAATCGATTGTTGCATAAATTTGTGGTTTATGACTCCATCAGGGACTGTGAATATTTCTACTGATGTAGATGAGTTTTAACCTGATATTTTGGATTGATTACTCTAACAATCATCAGATGAAATGGCTTGTTTCACTTTCATTCCTTAAAATTAGAACAATAAGGCCATGACGATGTCGTTAAACTAAATTAGTTGTTTGCGTATGCTATAAAAAATGTTATTGCCAATCTCTCACTGCCGTCCAAAAGCACACTTTTGGGCCTTACAAAGCCATTAAACTCTTCCTATGAACCCAGGGATATATATTCTGGGAATCCCAATCCTGCCATTTTGTTTGGATCCCCGCAAGTTTCTGGACCACCACTGGCATATACTCGGTCAATTCTTTTGTGGGGAGGAGGGTGGCAGTATGTCTGAAGCGTTTCAACCACAATACTGTATTGGCCTCATTTTTTATTCTAGTTCTAAAGAGGGTTCTAAAGAGGGTACGGTTATTTAGAAGGTCCGTCCAGGAAGTAAGTTTGCCATCTTTTGTTATAATACAAATATAATATTAATGAGGTATTTCTATAATAACAGAATGAGGAATATAATATTATTGAAAGACAGTCTAGAGAAATCCACGCAATAGTAGAATTTAGATAAAGATAAAATTGTATGCTTGCTCTCATACTTCTAAAGTCTTACCGATATGATGTTCATAATTATAAAAACTACCGTATATAAACAGTACAATACAGCAATTATTTTTCTTAATACAATTTATAGGTGGTGCAATCGCACCGTCTGCAACCCCTCTGCATCCGTAGTAAGTTTATTGCTTCTATTGTAGCAGAGGCACAACCGTAAACGGTGTGGAACAATAACAAAATCAGTATAAAACTTAATTAGGCCTACTTTGATTAAACAGAGCATGGAAATACTGTAGTAGGCCTAGTAAAAGTACCGTATTGTATTTAATGAATAATATAAATCTTTAATACTAGAAATTGCAAGTGAAGTGCTGCGAAGTACAACTGCATAAAATGTTCCTCGAACAAAATTATTTATGCGAGTCAAGTGAAAATAATGAATAATAAAAATATAACAAATAATATGAGCACGACCCATTGTCTATATCTCTCTGCTGGCGATGGCTCGCTGCTGCTGGCGATGACTCGCTGCTGGCGAATCGATCTGCGCATGTGTATAAAATGGTATTTATTTCCGCAAACACTATGCCAGTCTACAACAAGCGTCGCCTAAATGTAATAATTAGCAC